GATAACCCGGTTTCTGCTTTTGCTTTAGGGAAAAACAAAAACTTTTTAACTTTTGCTATCTCTCTGTGAGTGTTTCTGCATGTGGCCAAGAAATATTAGACCCATCATGACAGACACCACGACTGAGCAGTTATGTTAATTTGGGGTTTGACCAGAGCACAATAGTTGGGACCAACCAAGTAATCAAGGTCAGACAAGCAGATGTACTAAACAAGGGAAACCAAGGTTGGGGAACAGCTTCTGGCAGACAGAATAACTGGAAAAAAGAGAAAGAAAAACAAGCAGGTTAGATTTTACCAGACTTGTTTAGAAGAAGCAAATGGTCTGAATGTCTTATCACTGGGATAAGACAAAAATCTGACGCTATGCAGTTGGTGGATCCGTTCTTAAATGGCAGCTGCTGATGACTCCCAGGTGTTTAGGTCACAACACAAGAGCAGTTGTGACAGTTCTGACTCAGCCTCTGTTCTGTTGTCCCTGCAATCATATCGGTCCCAGATTTATCCAAAAATTATCCATGAGATTCTTGTCACCATTTCTAGGGTGGAGAGGGGAGGATGAGATGTGAGATATTTTTATGGGTTCCCTCTTCCGTGTAATAACTAATGACTGAGTTGGCTTAATTGCTAAAGAAGCATTGAAATGCCTCAAAATGCATTGAAATGGAAAAATCAGTGGATAGTTAGGAATTTTAAGAAAATAGTTCTCAGTCAGTGGCAGAGGGAGTTGGATTCTAAGAAGACAAGAAGTCATTATTACATGATTGAAAAGCTTGTGACTGGAGCAGAGATAACCAGGGAAAACAACTAAACAAGTCTACTTTGTTGAATGATGAACTCTACAAAGAATTTGTTGGGGAAAAAAACTGAAACTGAAAGTTAAAGGCAGCTTTTCATCTTGTTGTTTTACTTGCCTATCTCTCAGATTTAAAAAAGAAGACAGTGTTTCACCAGTCCTGCTGCTAGAAAAAGAAGTAGAGCATAAACAGCGAAACTGGTCACTAAGTCCTGCATTAGAGCAAACATTATTCTGTTCATGTAACTTGAAGTCTCTTGCTAACTGTTTCCCCTGTCAGGATGCAGGTTTAACTGGAACTGCTACATTTTTTTTTTTACATGGCCTCAACTTTAACTATTCACCTCTGCAACAGTTACAACATAATGTTAGCTTAGCATGAACAGAGATGCCAATTTAAACAACCCTTATTAAAAAAAAGAAGAAGGGAAAAAAAAAAAAAAACAGGACAACATGGCCATGTGTTTTTCTTGTCCTAAAATGACCCAAGATCCCTTGAGGCTAATCAAACCTCACAGGACTTTCCAGTATTATTAGGTGCTGGGAAATGTATTTGAACCACATAAAATTTTAAGTTACTTTTCTGTTACAAAATTGTTCACTACCATTTAATACAAAATCCAACTGTCAAACAATAATTAAAGACAGAATTAATCTAAATAAACCAGGTTATCTGTAAAAAAAATATATATATATATATAAATATATATATATATATAAAGTAATCCCTCCTCTTACTAAAGCACATGACCTGTATTACCTGATTACCTGCATTTCAGTATTTCATGTATAAAAATCTTATTCAGTTAGGGCTTTGCTGTTACAAAGAGTAAAATATTAAACTAAAAGTCTACAATAAATACTTTGACCTTGTTAAGGTCATTTGCTATTTTATCAAAGACCTTTCAACTATTTAAACAAAGATATGTTTTAAGGTCAATTTGACCTTTTCTGCAGATTTCCAAATAAAGGGTAAGCAATAATTTCTGTGATCAATCTTTTATAAGCACAAATAATAAAAATCTCATAAAAATGAGATCTCCAAAATGTGTCATGTACTTCTAGACAATTTTAAGATATGTGTGACACCAAAATGAGAAAACATGTATTTTTCCTGTGTCTCAGTTTTTTCTCTTGAGCAATAAGATGTATTAAAGTTTGATTTAGTCTCCTTCCAAGTTTCAGAAAAGATCCCAACAAGCTCTAATATAATTCTCAGAAGTCCTCAAATGTTGAGGCTCCTCATGATCCCAAGCAGAGAAAACAGAGAGCAAGAAACAGAGAACAAGGAGTCATTACATTATTACGAAAACCAGGAAAAGACACATTGATAATCTGAGGCCAATAACTTTACTGAATGCAGATTAAAAAATATTCACCCTTATTTTTTCCAATCAATTTGGGACAGATAGTGTGTGATCAGGATTAATTAAGGACTGGTTTATACACAAAAATATTATTGTCACGCCAACTGACAAAAAGCACGACAAAAACATCAAAAACCTCTTTCATTCACTTTCATAAATAAAACAAATCTTCAGGCAGACCTGCAGGGGGCAATCAATCATTTGCATTTTGCAACATCACCAGCAAAGCACTCCAACCAACTTCCTGTCAAGGGGAGGAACTTCCTGTTAAACGGCCATCTTGAACACCAGTTCAATACATGCTGTGGAGGATAAAGGAGGAATGTTTGTTGAGAGCAAAAGTTTGAAGAAACAAGCCAAACCAAGAAAACTAAAATCCCTCAGTTCACCGTCAAATGCAACTGGTAGGAGATTTGACTTTCTTGAATTACTCACCTGTTGTTGTGGAAGTGGAAAGAATTAACTTCTGCTCTCAAGAAAATCCCAGAGGAGAACACCTGACCATCAGTTTGTGACCTTATGATTAAAACCTTAGTTATCCAGCAAAATGACGATTGAAAGCATACCAGCCATTCAGTATCTGAAGAACTAAAAAGGCAACATAAAGGATTAGAAACAGCCTTTACAGATTCAGATCTCATTGAGATCCTGTGGCATGACCTTGTTTAATTAGTGTCAAAAAGCAAAACAGAGAAAATTTCTAGGGAGGCAAATCCCCTATTAGAGCACTGTCCAAAGGGGATTTTAACAGGTTGAAGAGCAGGTGAAATGGTTGACGGAGGAACAAGAGCTGTGAAGGCTACAGAAAACTCAGGTACTAATGGAAACTACATAAAGGGACTGGGTTAGCATCAAAAGCGGGAAAATGAACACAACAGCACATTTGGATGAGCAATCAAAGGCTACAAGGGGAAACATATAAACCAGTAAAACAAATTAGTACTTTAAAAAGGAACAATAAATTTCCCTCAAGGGACACCTCCAGGTGGCTAGGAGGAGTAAAATTGGTCTGCAGGGAGGTTATTAGGGGAAAGGAGTGTTTCAGTATTCTGTGTAGCAAACTCTTATTCAGTTAGTGCTCTGCTGTAACAAAAAGTAAAATATTAAACAAAGTCTACGGTAAATATTTTTACCCTGTTTGGGTCATTTGCAATTTTATCAAAGACCTGTCCACTATTCAAACAAAGATAAGTTTTAAGGGCAATTTGAACTTTTCTGCAGATTTCTAAATAAAAGATAAGCAATGGTTTCTGTGATCAACCTTTTATAAGTACAGTGTAAAAAAAAATTCTGTTCCAAGGGGAAAGGAAAATCTGAATTCTCCAAAATGTTTTATGTACTTAACAACCATGAGATATGCGTGACAACAAAATAAGAAAAAGTTTATTTCTCCTGTGTCTGTTTTTTCTCTGGAGCAATAAGATGTACTAAAGTTCGATTTAGTCTCCTTCCAAGTTTCAGAAAAGATTCCAACAAGCTCTAAGATAATTCTTAATTCTCCTCGTGATCCAGGGAGAGAAATCAGAAAGCTCTCCTGATGAACTCAGTATGCACTCATCACAGCCTCATTATCCTTTTTTGGAAAACATTAAACACATTATCATCCAAAACCTTAAAATGTATTGAAAATGATAATTTATTTCCTACTATCTGCGATGGACTGGCGACCTGTCCAGGGTGGACCCCGCCTCTTGCACATAGCACCCCTCGCGACCTAACTCGGGATGAAGCGTGTCTGATAATGGATGGATGGATGGATTTCCTACTATGAAAAAAGGAGTCATAACATTATTACCAAAAACAGGAAAAAACACATTGATAATTTGACGCCAATAACTAGACTTACATGTCTCCATATGTGAGTAAATATCAATACACGATTATCAGTAAAGCAACTTATATGGGATTCCAGTGAAAAAAGAAATAAAATATTTAAGCTTGACCTTGAAAAAGGATTATAAGACAAAAAAAGATCTGAATATTTGGCTGTCATAAAAAAGAGTGAATGCATTCTTACTTACTGGCTTCAAAGAGATACTTAGACAACTTTAAATTTTTCTTTTTTTTTTTTTTTTTTTTTCTTTTTACACCTTTCAGAAAGAAAATAAACATTTTAATCCCATAAAGTGCAGCAGTGGTCAAATGTAAACAGTGTGGGACAAAAAAAAAACACGCTGCAAACATGTATTGATATGTAAGTTCAGAGCTTTTAAATATAAATATATATGATGCGAATATGCACTATTTTAGTTTGGTGTTATCAGTGTGTTGCATAGTCTGTGAATGGATTTGGCATTTATTTTTCAACGTTTCACCAATCTGAGTGGGGAAAAAGCTGTTGCAAAATTTGCTGGACCTGCATCGGATGCTTCGAAGTCTCTTCTCAGGGGGCAGCAGGGAGAACAGTCCATGGTGGGGGTGTGAGGGGTAATTTATGATGTTACGGGCTCTGGACACACACTGCTGGGATGAAATGTCTTTAATGAGGGAAGAGGAGCCCCGAAGATCCTCTCTGCTGTTCACACCACTAGTCTCACACTCTTCCAGTCTGAGGTGCAGCAACCTCCAAACCACACAGTGAGACAGCTGGTCAGAACGCTCTCTATGGTGCTTCTGTAGAAGGTGGTGAGGATGGGTGGGGGCAGATGGGCTCTCCTCATCCTCTGCAAGAAGTACAAGCGCTTCTGTGCCGTGTTGACCAGTGAGGTGTTGTTTACAGTCCAGGTGAGGGTGTCTGTGATGTGCACCCCCAGGAATTTGGTGCTGCTGACCATTTCTACAGCTGAGCTGTTGATGAGCAGTGGAGCGTGGTTAGGCCGGTTGATCCTGAAGTTAACGATGATCTCCTCCGTCTTCTCCATGTTCAGAATCATGCCGTTATCTCTGAACCAGCCCACCAGCTACTCCAGCTTCTTTCTGTATGCATGGTCAGTGTTGTTTTTGTCAACGATGAGGATGACGCTTTCGTTCAATTTCGTTGAGGCTCCTTTTTTCCATGATGATAACAAAAACTGAAGAGCTAAACATGGATCAATGACACAAGTTGAGACTAAATAAAAATTAGTGGATTGTCTGTCAGACGTCCAAATGCATCATTGGGCTGTAATCAGCTAAGCAGTATCAGCTATGCTGCTGCGTCATGTTTGATCCTGCCGCCCACCTGCCATGCAGTTTTGCACATGCTGTAGGAGCAAAGATGGATAATAGCAGTAGCGGCAGGGTCTAACAAAATAACCCGGAATGGTCCTGTACTGCACGCTTAACTTTGACAAACTCTGCTCTGATCTTCCATCTGTGCTTGTGCAGAAATGCATCTTTGCGCATGCGGAGCTCTGAGTCTGCGCTTTATGCTCCACTCTGATGGTTTACTCTCATTAGTATGGCTCTTCCTGCTCTCGCTACTTAATAAACTATATGGGGCTGATCATCCTCTGTCAAGCGTAAAAAAATCCCGTGACTATCAATATTTTACTTTGTCCAGCTCACAAGAGGTGATACTAAATATTCTTTAATTTATACCAAAATGAATCCCTAAATTATATCAAAATAAAATTATTCATTGTATTTTTTTTATTTCTGGATAAAGAGCCAGGTTCATTCAATTTCGGTCTGGATGAACCCAGATAGGTTCTCTCTGTATTTCTTTTATTTAAAAAAAAAATGTAAATTCAAATCTACTTTGACCCTTCAGCAGCAGTAACAAAGGGGTAAATTGAAGAAATAAAACCATAATTGCCAAAGTAGAAAGAAGAATGTTTTTGTTATTTGCTTTTTTGGAGTAATGACGATTTTATTGGTCTGTGTGTATAATTCATAGTAGATCAGGAAGTGTTTGCTGTATGATGGAAACCCTGTATGTCTAAAACTATTCCTTTATGGTACATTTTGTTAGGATGTCTGTCTCCTATATTAACCAATATGATGTGTTGAACTACATTTGCTATTTTACACGTTTTGTGAGACACTTTTTAAAAAGTAGAGCATTATTTCATAAAAAGATTTTCTGCCCAACAGCAAAGATGAACTGCATGGCCGCATTCTATACCCAGCAATTGTAATATCTAGGCAAAAGCTGTCAGTCTGGTAAAGAATCTGGTTGTTATTCCAAATTGAAAAGGTTAACTTTTTTTGCAACATAAAGCTGACTAAAACTAGACTAAAATCTTTTTTCAGTTTTAGTCGACTAAAACCGGCTAAAACTATCAGATATCGTAATGACTAAAATGCGACTAAGACTGATAATAGTTTTCGTCTTGAAGACTAGGACTAACACTAAATTTAAGATGGCTGTCAAAAACAACACTGGTCCTGGTCATTGTCATCTCTGATGAGGCCCACCAT